TGGCTCACCCCTGTTGGCTCACCCCGGTTGGTACACCCTGTTGAATCACCCTGTTGGCTCACCCCTGTTGGCTCACCCTGTTGGCTCACCCTGTTGGCACACCCTGTTGGCTCACCCCTGTTGGTACACCCTGTTGGCACACCCTGTTGGCTCACCCTGTTGGCTCACCCCTGTTGGCTCACCCCTGTTGGTACACCCTGTTGGCTCACCGCTGTTGGCTCACCCCTGTTGGTACACCCTGTTGGCTCACCCCTGTTGGTACACCCTGATGGCTCACCCCTGTTGGTACACCCTGTTGGCTCACCCCTGTTGGCTCACCCTGTTGGCTCACCCCTGTTGGCTCACCCTGTTGGCTCACCCCTGTTGGTACCCCTGTTGGCTCACCCCTGTTGGCTCACCCCTGTTGGTACACCCTGTTGGCTCACCCTGTTGGCTCACCCTGTTGGCTCACCCCTGTTGGTACACCCTGTTGGCTCACCCCTGTTGGCTCACCCTGTTGGCTCACCCTGTTGGCACACCCTGTTGGCTCACCCCTGTTGGCTCACCCTGTTGGCTCACCCCTGTTGGTACCCTTGTTGGCTCACCCCTGTTGGCTCACCCCTGTTGGTACACCCTGTTGGCTCACCCTGTTGGCACACCCTGTTGGCTCACCCTGTTGGCTCACCCTGTTGGCACACCCTGTTGGCTCACCTTGTTGGCTCACCCTGTTGGCTCACCCCTGTTGGCACACCCTGTTGGGTCACCCTGTTGGCTCACCCCTGTTGGCTCACCCCTGTTGGCTCACCCTGTTGGCTCACCCCTGTTGGCTCACCCTTTTGGCTCACCCTGTTGGTACACCCTGTTGGCTCACCCCTGTTGACTCACCCTGTTGACTCACCCTGTTGGCACACCCTGTTGGCTCACCCTGTTGGCTCACCCTGTTGGCTCACCCCTGTTGGTACACCCTGTTGGCTCACCCCTGTTGGCTCACCCTGTTGGCTCACCCTGTTGGCACACCCTGTTGGCTCACCCCTGTTGGCTCACCCTGTTGGCTCACCCCTTTTGGCTCACCCCTGTTGGCTCACCCTGTTGGCTCACCCCTGTTGGCTCACCCTGTTGGCTCACCCTGTTGGCACACCCTGTTGGCTCACCCTGTTGGTACACCCTGTTGGCTCACCCTGTTGGCTCACCCTGTTGGCACACCCTGTTGGCTCACCTTGTTGGCTCACCCTGTTGGCTCACCCCTGTTGGCTCACCCCTGTTGGCACACCCGGTTGGGTCACCCTGTTGGCTCACCCCTGTTGGCTCACCCCTGTTGGCTCACCCTGTTGGCTCACCCCTGTTGGCTCACCCTGTTGGCTCACCCTGTTGGTACACCCTGTTGGCTCACCCCTGTTGACTCACCCTGTTGACTCATCCTGTTGGCACACCCTGTTGGCTCACCCTGTTGGCTCACCCCTGTTGGCTCACCCCTGTTGGCTCACCCTGTTGGCTCACCCCTGTTGGCTCACCCTGTTGGCTCACCCTGTTGGTACAACCTGTTGGCTCACCCCTGTTGGCTCACCCTGTTGGCACACCCTGTTGGCTCACCCCTGTTGGCTCACCCCTGTTGGCACACCCTGTTGGCTCACCCCTGTTGGCTCACCCTGTTGGCTCACCCCTGTTGGCTCACCCCTGTTGGCACACCCTGTTGGCTCACCCTGTTGGCTCACCCTGTTGGCTCAGTTCACTGGTTCTGTTTATTGGCTCAGCCTGGAGGGTCAGCCCCAGGCTTTGCCTGTAAACTCTTTCAGACTCTTGGTTCAGTCTGGTGGATCACAGTCACTATGGTTCAGTCTGGTGGATCAAAGTCACTATGGTTCAGCCTGGTGGATCAAAGTCACTATGGTTCAGTCTGGTGGATCAAAGTCACTATGGTTCAGTCTGGTGGATCAAAGTCACTATGGTTCAGTCTGGTGGATCAAAGTCACTATGGTTCAGCCTGGTGGATCAAAGTCACTATGGTTCAGCCTGGTGGATCAAAGTCACTATGGTTCAGCCTGGTGGATCAAAGTCACTATGGTTCAGTCTGGTGGATCAAAGTCACTATGGTTCAGCCTGGTGGATCAAAGTCACTATGGTTCAGTCTGGTGGATCAAAGTCACTATGGTTCAGCCTGGTGGATCAAAGTCACTATGGTTCAACCTGGTGGATCACAGTCACTATGGTTCAGTCTGGTGGATCAAAGTCACTATGGTTCAGCCTGGTGGATCAAAGTCACTATGGTTCAGTCTGGTGGATCAAAGTCACTATGGTTCAGCCTGGTGGATCAAAGTCACTATGGTTCAACCTGGTGGATCACAGTCACTATGGTTCAGTCTGGTGGATCAAAGTCACTATGGTTCAGTCTGGTGGATCAAAGTCACTATGGTTCAGCCTGGTGGATCAAAGTCACTATGGTTCAGTCTGGTGGATCAAAGTCACTATGGTTCAGCCTGGTGGATCAAAGTCACTATGGTTCAGTCTGGTGGATCAAAGTCACTATGGTTCAGTCTGGTGGATCAAAGTCACTAAGGTTCAGCCTGGTGGATCAAAGTCACTATGGTTCAGCCTGGTGGATCAAAGTCACTATGGTTCAGCCTGGTGGATCAAAGTCACTATGGTTCAGCCTGGTGGATCAAAGTCACTATGGTTCAGCTTGGTGGATCAAAGTCACTATGGTTCATTCTGGTGGATCAAAGTCACTATGGTTCAGCCTGGTGGATCAAAGTCACTATGGTTCAGCCTGGTGGATCAGAGTCACTATGGTTCAGCCTGGTGGATCAAAGTCACTATGGTTCAGTCTGGTGGATCAAAGTCACTATGGTTCAGCCTGGTGGATCAAAGTCACTATGGTTCAGCCTGGTGGATCAAAGTCACTATGGTTCAGCCTGGTGGATCACAGTCACTATGGTTCAGCCTGGTGGATCAAAGTCACTATGGTTCAGCCTGGTGGATCAAAGTCACTATGGTTCAGCCTGGTGGATCACAGTCACTATGGTTCAGCCTGGTGGATCAAAGTCACTATGGTTCAGCCTGGTGGATCAAAGTCACTATGGTTCAGCCTGGTGGATCAAAGTCACTATGGTTCAGTCTGGTGGATCAAAGTCACTATATACTGCCTGTGAAACGCTCTTAATGGCTGTATTGAGGCAACTGTAACCTTACTGTGCAGTTAGGTTAGGCTGTGGTGAGGTTAAGTGGAATTTATGTTAGGTGGGGTTAGGTTACGTTAAGTGAAGTTAGGTTAGGTAGGAGTTAGGTTAAGTTAGGTTAGGTAGGAGTTAGGTTAAGTTAGGCCCGCCATGATAGCCTACTGACCAACCACCAAGTAGACATTACTCTGGACCATTCAGCACGTCCTCCAAAAATGAGGAGGTAAATGTACAGAGCCCCGTAAGTGCAATTATGTACTATGTATAACAGTTAAGAATTGTACTTATTTACACTAAGTATTAAATCGTACTGTCAAATATATTGTGAGTATTTCAGTTTACCTCAAAAGCTGAATAGAAAACCACGACCTAACCTAACCTTCTTAGTTTGTGAAGATAAGAATTTTATTGTATCTTAATTATAACTATTACTTAACCTATAGCTATATTGATATTACAGTTTTATAAAACTAATAAAACAAAACTAAAATATTTCAATAAATTGTAAAGTAACTCAGGATATTTTCAAATTTTGTATAAAATCTCTATTGTTTAATAAAAGTGAAAAAGAAAATCCTAATATTTAAAACTTGTTTATAGCAACTGAAAGAACTCCACTTCGGGCTCACCATAGCCCGTGCTACTTGGTTCTTTTAGTTCCAGGTAGCGAATCTTTAACAGCAACTGAACTTTAAAATTTCATCTTAAAATTGTAAATGTCCTAACAGAAAACGAGGAGGTTTAAATCGGGGGAGGGGGATGGGTAAATGTAACAGCCCCATAAGTGCAATTATGTACTATGTATAATAGTCAGGAAATGCACTTATTACACTTAGTATTAAAACGGACTGTCAATTCGGAGGATGAGTTGGAACACATGTGCAGGACTATAGTGAACGCTCGGTGTATATACAGCATGAAGCTGGGTATACATCTCGGTGTATATACAGCATGAAGCTGGGTATACATCTCGGTGTATATACAGCATGAAGCTGGGTATACATCTCGGTGTATATACAGCATGAAGCTGGGTATACATCTCGGTGTATATACAGCATGAAGCTGGGTATACATCTCGGTGTATATACAGCATGAAGCTGGGTATACATCTCGGTGTATATACAGCATGAAGCTGGGTATACATCTCGGTGTATATACAGCATGAAGCTGGGTATACATCACGGTGAATATACAGCATGAAGCTGGGTATACATCACGGTGAATATACAGCATGAAGCTGGGTATACATCACGGTGAATATACAGCATGAAGCTGGGTATACATCACGGTGTATATACAGCATGAAGCTGGGTATACATCGCTGTGTATATACAGCATGACGCTCCAGTGACCAACAGCATCATAAGCATCTCCATCATCCCAGCATCTTCAGCATCTTCAGCATCTCCATCATACACACTCCGCGTCAACTCTTTATCATAATAAAGTTCTTAATATTCCTAAAAAATGCTAAAATATTGCGTCTCTGGTTTCTTAAAAATAAAAATAAATTTGTTGTTAAATAATTATTATAAAATAATATCCATCAAAAGCTTATATATATATTTTGGTGTCATTGAAACAAAATAAAGCTTTTTATTTTGGTAAGTTGATTATTAGTGAAAAGCCTGAACGGAAAAAAAGAGTAAAAGAGAAGGGAGAGGAGAGTGTTGTGGAGTTGCTTGTACAAGAGCAGGCTGCTCCTCGTGGTTGACGTACAGGGAGCTGTTAGACCTGTCTGCTGCATAAGCAGAAAGGCTAATATTGTCTGCGTGAGAGAGTCAAATTTGCTTACAGAGCGCTTACAGACGCAGAATTATCAGAGGCGGAGAGATAGGGGCGGAAATATCAGCAGACAAACGGCTCGAGGAATGTACAGAAAAACCCCCGAACAATTGTTCTGGTTAAACAACACTTGTGTTTCTGTTTAAGACGGGCGACGGGGCGACGGGCGACGGGGCGACGGGTGACGGGGCGACGGGTCGACGGGTCGACGGGGCGACGGGCGATGGGTCGACGGGCGATGGGTCGACGGGCGACGGGGCGACGGGCGACGGGCGACGGGTCGACGGGCGACGGGGCGACGGGCGACGGGTCGACGGGCGACGGGGCGACGGGCGACGGGGCGACGGGCGACGGGTCGACGGGCGACGGGCGACGGGTCGACGGGTCGACGGGGCGACGGGCGACGGGGCGACGGGCGACGGGTCGACGGGGCGACGGGTCGACGGGCGACGGGCGACGGGTCGACGGGTCGACGGGGCGACGGGCGACGGGTCGACGGGCGACGGGTCGACGGGTGACGGGTCGACGGGCGACGGGGCGACGGGCGACGGGCGACGGGGCGACGGGCGACGGGCGACGGGTCGACGGGCGACGGGTCTGAGCTCAGCAGCACACTTGGCTTTAATTCCCAGTGTTTGTTGTTGGGGTCGGCGGCTGTTGTGTGCCTTCACCCTGCCGTCTCCACCATCACAAGCTGGAGAAGGTTGGGTGAAAATTCCTCCGGCGGCTTTAACTCTCACAATGACGGCCTGGGGCCAGAGTCACGAAGCAGTTACGCAAGCACTTACGAACCTGTACATCTTTTCTCAATCTTTGGCGGCTTTGGCGACATTTTTTAAATAGTTTACAAGCATGAAAACTTGCCAATCAACTGTTGTTATTGTTATAAACAGCCTCCTGGTGCTTCGGAGCTCATTAACTGTCTAATAATTGTAAACAAAGCCGCCAAAGATTGAGAAAAGATGTACACGTTCGTAAGTGCTTGCGTAACTGCTTCGTGACTCTGGCTCCATGCCTCAGGGCTCCGCGTGTAGCAGCACCACGCTGGCTCTGTCTGCCAGTTCCAACATTCTGGCAAATAACTTTTGTTCTGTTGTTTGTATGTTGCCTAGGGAGCTCCCAGCCTCCCTAGAGAGCCGGTCGGCCGAGCGGACAGCACGCTGGACTTGTGATCCTGTGGTCCCGGGTTCGATCCCGGGCGCCGACGAGAAACAATGGGCAGAGTTTCTTTCACCCTATGCTCCTGTTACCTAGCAGTAAATAGGTACCTGGGTGTTAGTCAGCTGTCACGGGCTGCTTCCTGGGGGTGGAGGCCTGGTCGAGGACCGGGCCGCGGGGACACTAAAGCCCCGAAATCATCTCAAAATAACCTATTCCATTCATAGAAATGTCATTCATATCATAAATCTCTTAATCAGAATAACTTAATACATAGAAAATTATTATATATGTAAAGTAAAATTAAGAAACATCAGCTAAACGGCTTCTCAGGACCACAAGGCAGAGCTTTTTGAGACTTTAAAGGCTTACAAAGGCTAGCAAAGGCTTACAAAGGCTAGCAAAGGCTTACAAAGGCTAGCAAAGGCTTACAAAGGCTAGCAAAGGCTTACAAAGGCTAGCAAAGGCTACAAACAACAACTTACCGCCAGACCCAAGCTAAGCTCCATGTTTATGGAAGACTTTAGTGGGTATAAGCAACGTAATAACGGATTTAAAGAGCGTAAGGTAATTTTGGGGGAGAAAACCCCAAGTAAATTATATATATATACCACTTGGAAGGGATATGAGGACAAGAGGCTGGGATATGAGGATAAGGAGCTGGGATATGAGGATAAGGAGCTGGGATATCAGGATAAGGAGCTGGGATATGAGGACAAGGAGCTGGGATATGAGGACAAGGAACTGGGATATGAGGACAAGGAACTGGGGTATGAGGACAAGGAACTGGGATATGAGGACAAGGAGCTGGGATATGAGGACAAGGAGCTGGGATATGAGGACAAGGAACTGGGATATGAGGACAAGGAACTGGGATATGAGGACAAGGAACTGGGATATGAGGACAAGGAGCTGGGATATGAGGACAAGCTGGGATATGAGGACAAGAGGCTGGGATATGAGGACAAGGAACTGGGATATGAGGGCAAGAAGCTGGGATATGAGGACAAGGAGCTGGGATATGAGGACAAGGAACTGGGATATGAGGACAAGGAGCTGGGATATGAGGACAAGGAACTGGGATATGAGCACAAGGAGCTGGGATATGAGGACAAGGAACTGCGATATGAGCACAAGGAGCTGGGATATGAGGACAAGGAACTGCGATATGAGGACAAGGAGCTGGGGTATGAGCACAAGGAACTGGGGTATGAGGACAAGGAACTGGGGTATGAGGACAAGGAGCTGGGGTATGAGGACAAGGAGCTGGGGTATGAGCACAAGGAACTGGGGTATGAGGACAAGGAGCTGGGGTATGAGGACAAGAAGCTGGGATATGAGGACAAGGAGCTGGGGTATGAGGACAAGGAACTGGGGTATGAGGACAAGGAGCTGGGATATGAGGACAAGGAACTGGGATATGAGGACAAGGAACTGGGGTATAAGGACAAGGAGCTGGGGTATGAGGACAAGGAGCTGGGGTATGAGCACAAGGAACTGGGGTATGAGGACAAGGAGCTGGGGTATGAGGACAAGGAGCTGGGGTATGAGGACAAGGAGCTGGGGTATGAGCACAAGGAACTGGGGTATGAGGACAAGGAGCTGGGGTATGAGGACAAGGAGCTGGGGTATGAGGACAAGGAGCTGGGGTATGAGGACAAGGAGCTGGGGTATGAGGACAAGGAGCTGAGGTATGAGGACAAGGAGCTGGGGTATGAGCACAAGGAACTGGGGTATGAGGACAAGGAGCTGGGGTATGAGGACAAGGAGCTGGGGTATGAGGACAAGGAGCTGGGGTATGAGGACAAGGAGCTGGGGTATGAGGACAAGGAGCTGGGGTATGAGGACAAGGAGCTGGGGTATGAGGACAAGAAGCTGGGATATGAGGACAAGGAGCTGGGGTATGAGGACAAGGAGCTGGGATATGAGGACAAGGAGCTGGGGTATGAGGACAAGGAGCTGGGATATGAGGACAAGGAACTGGGATATGAGGACAAGGAACTGGGATATGAGGACAAGAAACTGGGATATGAGGACAAGGAGCTGGTATATGAGGACTAGGAGCTGGGGTATGAGGACAAGGAACTGGGATATGAGGACAAGGAGCTGGGGTATGAGGACAAGGAGCTGGGGTATGAGGACAAGGAGCTGGGGTATGAGGACAAGGAGCTGGGGTATGAGGACAAGGAGCTGGGGTATGAGGACAAGGAGCTGGGGTATGAGGACAAGGAGCTGGGATATGAGGACAAGGAGCTGGGGTATGAGGACAAGGAGCTGGGATATGAGGACAAGGAGCTGGGATATGAGGACAAGGAGCTGGGGTATGAGGACAAGGAGCTGGGGTATGAGGACAAGGAGCTGGGATATGAGGACAAGGAGCTGGGGTATGAGGACAAGGAGCTGGGATATGAGGACAAGGAACTGGGATATGAGGACAAGGAACTGGGATATGAGGACAAGAAACTGGGATATGAGGACAAGGAGCTGGTATATGAGGACTAGGAGCTGGGGTATGAGGACAAGGAACTGGGATATGAGGACAAGGAGCTGGGGTATGAGGACAAGGAGCTGGGGTATGAGGACAAGGAGCTGGGGTATGAGGACAAGGAGCTGGGGTATGAGGACAAGGAGCTGGGGTATGAGGACAAGGAGCTGGGGTATGAGGACAAGGAGCTGGGATATGAGGACAAGGAGCTGGGGTATGAGGACAAGGAGCTGGGATATGAGGACAAGGAGCTGGGATATGAGGACAAGGAGCTGGGGTATGAGGACAAGGAGCTGGGGTATGAGGACAAGGAGCTGGGATATGAGGACAAGGAGCTGGGGTATGAGGACAAGGAGCTGGGATATGAGGACAAGGAGCTGGGATATGAGGACAAGGAGCTGGGATATGAGGACAAGGAGCTGGGATATGAGGACAAGGAGCTTGGGTATGAGGACAAGGAGCTGGGGTATGAGGACAAGGAGCTGGGATATGAGGACAAGGAGCTGGGGTATGAGCAAAAGAGGCTGGGATATGAGGACAAGAGGCTGGGATATGAAGACAAGGAGCTGGGGTATGAGGACAAGGAGCTGGGATATGAGGAAGTAGTGCGGGAATAGTGCCAAACCACATAAACCATCAGGGATTGAACGCGGACCTGCAAGAAACGATGCCAAATGGATGCATTTGAAGACAGTACTTGGCTAATATATTTGTATCTACATACAGGGTATCACTCTGATATACATTCCTTGGTAAGCTGTTCCATATATTTGCTTTTGCAATAAATAAAGGTACTTAACCTTGGATATTATTTGCAGTTATTTTCAAGTCATTGTATATATATATATATATATATATATATATATATATATATATATATATATATATATATATATATATATATATATATATATTTAATTTTGAACTGTAATGATAATTATCAGTTGTAATTGTTTATGCAGATGCCTCATTACATCAGCCGCTAATTACGCTGCCCTGCTTGTGCTGTGGAAGACACACTGGAATATTTTATCTTGATAGAGAGAGAAAGAGAGAGAGAGTAAGAGAGAGGGAGAAGGAGTAAGAGAGAGGGAGAGGGAGAGAGAGTAAGAGAGAGGGAGAGAGAGTAAGAGAGAGGGAGAGGGAGAGAGAGTAAGAGAGAGGGAGAGGGAGTAAGAGAGAGGGAGAGGGAGGGAGAGTAAAAGAGAGGGAGAGAGAGTAAGAGAGAGGGAGAGGGAGAGAGAGTAAGAGAGAGGGAGAGGGAGTAAGAGAGAGGGAAAGAGAGAGAGAGTAAGAGAGAGGGAGAGGGAGAGAGAGTAAAAGAGAGTGGTTGTGTATGAGAGAGAATGACTCTCATTTTATATGTGGAATAAAGGAAAGGGAAGAGAATTATCAGGGGGAAGCACCAAGCTATTACGACTATTTAGCACTGGGAAGGGATCAGGATAAGGATTTGGGATGGAACGGTGGGGGGGGGGGGTGTGGGGAGGGAGGGGGAGGAATCAACTGCTACTCGTGTCGTATGCAGATGATGAGTCACAATAACGGGGTTGAAGACATGTTGACCAGACCACACACTAGAAGATGACGAGACGACGACATTTCGGTCCGTCCTGGACCATTCTGAAGTCGATTGTGAGTCGTCTCAAATCACTAGTCACAATCGACTTGAGAATGGTCCAGGATGGACCGAAACGTCGTCGTCGTCCCTTCACTTTCTAGTGTGTGGTCTGGTCAACATACTTCAGCCACGTTATTGTGACTCATCGCCTGCATTAAGTGTAGAGAGTGTAAGATATGAGGCATATGTTCGCTTCCTTCTTAAGAACAGACCGACTTCCTGCCCTAGTCAGTCATCAGAATTTTGGAGAACGTGTAGAGAACCAGGCGAGAAGGCTCACATCTTAGTCTTGACCAAGTCTGCTTGAACTCATCTCAACGTCAGAGTTTTCAGCACCCGGCGAGACGTTTGTGGCCTTACTGTTATGTATAAGGTCGATATTCTCAAAGTTCCGCACCTGACCCAACTTTATGGACATGAGGCATATAAATCAAGAGGTACTCATAACAAGGGCGGTTTGCTGTCAACAGCCTAATGCTGGCAATACCTTTATCAAGAAGCATTCTATCTCTGTCTCTCTGTCTGTCTGTCTCTCTCTCTCTCTCTCTCTCTCTCTCTCTCTCTCTCTCTCTCTCTCTCTCTCTCTCTCTCTCTCTCTCTCTCAATTCTCAGCGAACACTGCACTTTTTTCACTTTCCGTACGACACTTGGAAACATATAAAGTAAAACTCGCAATATAAAGATTGTCATTTTTATATTTCATGAAGTCAGGTAAGAGCGTGAGCATTCATGACGCAACCTCTTCCCGCCCCACCCAAGATATATTGCTAATGCCCCAACAAGGTGATTATTTCAGAAACTCATTTACCAAGTTTTAGGGTGGAAAACAGTTTTCGAGTTTCACGTGAATGAGGCTCTGGTAAAGAAGCAAGGGAGAAAGACAGACAGACAGACACACACACATACTGACAATATTTATAAAAATATACACACGCGCGCACACACACACACACACACACACACACACACAAACACACACACACACACACACACACACACACACACACACACACACACACAGGATAGGGGCGGAAGGATTCACTACAAATGACAAGGAAGTGTGTGAGGAATTGAATAAGAAATTCCAGGAGGTCTTCACCTTAGAGCAAGGAGAAATTCCAGAGGTAAGTGAGGGAGTAGCTAACCAGGAACCACTGGAAGAGTTTGAGATTACCAGTGGGGAAGTAAGGAAGTGTTTACTAGAGTTGGACGTGACGAAGGCTATAGGCCCAGATGGAATCTCCCCTTGGGTTCTAAAGGAAGGAGCAAGAGAACTGTGCCTACCACTCTCCATAGTGTATAACAAATCACTGGCAACAGGGGAACTGCCAGATATTTGGAAAGCAGCTAACGTAGTCCCGATATACAAGAAAGGGGATAGACAGGAGGCACTGAACTACAGG